AAATATACATATATGTAAACAAATTGTTTGTTAATTGATATTTAAGTGCATTATAAAAAAAAAAAAAAAAATTGCTCATAATTTATTATTGAATATACAAAAAATGAGTATGTTATTTGCTCCTTATATAATTTACCCTATCAGCGATTTGTCGTAAATATTAATTTTAATCTATGTAGGTTCATTGAAATATTTTAAAACTTGAAATCTGAACGTCTATTAGAAAGGTTTTGTAACACCAAATCCGGTCGCAATTTACTTTATTCCATCAGGTTATTGCACTGTTGACATTCGAAAGTCTTGGATTTCTGTTATTTCTGTTAAATGTTTATCTCTTTTAATTAAATTTTTTTTGCACTATGCCATCTTAGCGTCTAATAACAAATAGTAATAGAAAATGATGGTGTAAATAGTAACTCGGTTTTAAATTGTCCAAAAACCTGTATTAAGACTCCAAAAAAAAAAAAAAAACCTTTTCGACCTTTAAAAATCGATATGGAACTTAATGCATTAATGGCAAAATTTAATTCGTTAAGAGAAATTGGAATCCGTCCAACTAGCTTCGCAAACACGATTGGCTGTAGATTTCACAGTTTTTGATCGTCAAAGTCTCGTTTTAATTTCACCCGTGTCTAATACAATAATATTAATTATTGACATCCGAAACCACTAACAATTTTTTATACAATACCTTCATACTGTGTACATCGCAATATTTAAAATACCTAGCTGTCCATACAACATTACGTACACATAAGTCATAAAGTTATAAAATTATGTTTTTGATAAATAATACTTATTTTATTCTTCAATTCAATATATAAAGACGTAGTTTATTAAAACTGTATAGTATTTAAATATTTTTAGAATTTGAATACATTTTTTTTTTTTTTTTACCTACGCACAATAATTCTTTCCCTTAGCTTAATTTAATTAAAATGGGCTGCGATCTGATAAAGCTATTGAACTATTAAGATATAAAAACTACTGAAATATAATACATAACTGATTATAAAGCTTTTTTTTTAATTTTGAAAATATATTACTTACTAAATATTTTACGAATGACGTTTCAGTAAATATTAAAATTAATTTTTGTCTGAATGAAGATAGTAATATTATATATTATTTCAATATATGTCCGGTATACCTATGATCATTCGTATTACTGATCTATTCACCTTTCTTGTATGACAGCTATTTAAATGGTATTTTTTTTTAAATTACATTTTTTTAGACTATACCAAAGACTAATTATTTCCGTTTATAGAATTTTTACATTAAAAAATGATAATGAAATCTATAACAGTCATCCGACTATTAATCTTCTACACACATTTTTATAGTTACTTATATTATATTAAATTGGTCACTTAATTAAAAACTAAAATCGAAAGTAAAATTATAAAATTATTGGAAATGTTTATTATATTATATTTTGAACTTTTAAAGAAGGAGTGTAATATAACTAAAACATTTTGTCTTCTTTTTTCTCGAAAACATAGCTAATATAAATTTATAATAACTACATACTTACTGTATATATAAATCATATTATACGTCTTATACATAAGCTTCGAATTTTCATTTATGACTTAAATAAATTAATAACATTTCATTATGTTTATACATTTACATAATGTTGGTTTATACTATATATAGTACATACTGAATATTTTTTTTTTTTACAATTTACATAATTTATTAAATGAACTTAATTCTCTTAAGTTGTTGGTTATTTCATCGGTATTTCCTCAAAATCTAATTTAATTTTATCATGTTTAAATACAATTTTAAGTCTATTCTATTAACTTAACAATAAAAATAAGCTTGAAATTTAAATTAATTAAATATGACACTAATTTTATTGAAACTGTGTTCATATGTTTTGTATTGACTTTATTATCAGTAAGCTATATGTTTATTGCAGAGCACCTGTTAGCTTACACATACTCATTATGCATTGTTTTTTTTTTTTTTTTTTATGATTAATTGATCGTTCTAGTTTCAACTATAGACGTAATTAGCTATAATTACTAATTAAAAACTATTTATTGATGTTATATCATTGTCAACAAATTATCTACCTGTTTGAATAATAATTGTAAAACGTATCTTGTTAAACAATATTTTATATATTCAAATATTTTTATTTTAGTAAAATAATAAAAAAAATATTTATTTTTAGTAACTATGCATACACTTTTACAACTATATTAAATAATCGTCACCTAAGTAAAAGTTTTATACAAATATTACTTTAATTATGTACTTACAAACATTAGTGTACAGGGCTGTGAATATAATACCATGGATATTTTTAAGATAACTTAAAAATGCCATATGAACATTATAGAAACGTGTAAGGAAAAATATTTTTTTCCATTTATATATAAAAATTTAATTTTAAAGTACATGTTAACATAATAAACATAAACGATCGATTTGTTGATTAATTAAGAAGTCGTATAAATATATAATTAAACATAATAATTAAAAAATATTAACTATATATATATGCATTATTTTTAGGGTTTTTAGGGAAAATCTTTATTTTTAAATTATTATTTTACTCTGAATATTAATAAAAAACCAGTATTAACTAGTAGATATTTTATTTAATAAATAATAATTGTGCAACATTTAAGCTAATGTAGTTTTTTTTTTTTATCAAAACTATAATTAACAATATGTAGGTAAAAAAAAAAACATTGTTTTCATTTTTCATACAAAATATATATATAATATTTATATATTATCAAACAATATATGAAAAAAATATCTACCTTATACTCTTAAGTATATAAAATGTTTAAATATCTAAGATAGAATAATTTTAATAATAAGTAATGTATTATCTGGTTTTATTATATTACTATGTTAATACTATTATTATATAATACCATTAAATCACAAATTACGAATATAGTCAAAATTATAATAAATAAATTAAATTTAACTATTTAATTAGTTTTACTATTGTTTTAAATTACTCATTTTACTCTACAACTGTATGAATTTTAGTTTTAATGATAACTAATTATTCTTAAATATTTTTTCTTTAACAATAAAATAATAGAATAATTATTTATAAGAAAACTTGTATCATTAGAAAAAAATTATTCAATTCAAATTATTTAAAGTATTCCGCCTTACTTGTTGAAATTAATGAAAATAAGAAAATTTTGAGTTTTCAAAATTTAAACTTTCAAACTTTGAATACAATACAAACCAGATTATTTCGTGAATATGACTGCACACCAGTGCACTTAGGGTTATGTACTAAGTACAATTACACCAGGTTATGTATAAGTGCGATAATAGTTTAAACATTTCAATGTATATTTGGTTAATAATGTTAAACAACTGCATAATTATGAGTTATCGAAGCTCTGTGGTACATACATATGTGTATACTGTAAATGTAATTATTATTTTATTTTTATTTTTCAACAGTACATTCTAATAAAACAATTGAACATGTTTATCATTTTTAATAGTTTATTGTAGTATACATTTTAACTGAAACAAGATTGTTATGTAAATGTTCAGTGAAATATCATAAAAAATGTTTCACTATATTTTAAACAACTTAAATATATTCATAGTTTTAATCAATAATATTATTATAATGTAAGAAAACAATATTTATCTTTTAGAAGACAATTTATGTAGGTACTTAATTATTGTAAATACCCATCAATATATCTATTATATAAATTATACTATGTTGGTATAACTAATGAACTTTGGATGATTAAAAATGTGAGTTGACACTATCATTATGATACCCTGTAGGAAATATTATTTTTAATCATATATTAGATTAAAATATAATGAATATATTTTGTTAAACATTAATTAAATATGTGTTCTGATACGACGACATTAAGAATTCCAAACTCCGACAAATGTGTATTAAGTGGTCAACAATAGATATTTTATAATATCAATTAAAATACAAAATGTTCATTGCACATTACAGGTTATTATTTTCGTTTATTCAATTACAATATTATTTATTGGGTATAATATGACGTAATATTTGACCACAATCACCAAATAGTTTTGAAGTCAAGCACTATCCAGCGTTGATTCTTGGATTAGTGACCCCCCCCCTCAAAGGTTCTTAGTGATGAAGTCATGTCCCACATGCGTAAACACGTGTTCCAAAGACCTAAAATACAGAAAATCCCGTAGCTATTGCTCGAAATTGTCGAAGTTTAATTATAGAAAATCAAAATATTATTACATTTTTAAAACCATTTAATATAATATTAACATTTGATACTGTTATGAGAATGTTCACTCTTAATTACACATTATATAAGCATGTTTAATAATAAAATGTATTCATCTTTTTAATACTTTTATCCTACGCCAAGAAAAACTAACTTTTGCCGTTTTCTAAACTTTAAAGAATACATTTCCATTTGTCTTAGAACATTTTTTCAGTTTTATTTTAATTGATATTGTATAATATATTATATTCTGAATAGAATCTGGATTAATTTATTATACTGTTTAATCATTTCAGCTTTAAATCATTTCAAACTCGCTGAGTTAACTTTTGAAATATTTTGACATACATATTGGTATTTTTTGTTAAAATAATGTTTTTTTTTTTAAATATTTTATAAATAAATTGAAGTTAAAATAACATATAAATATTAAATATTAAATTACTTATACCTATACCTAGTATATTAGAATTTCTATATACATTTTTAAAACTTTAAAAAAATAAATCACAATCGAAACCGGCAATTAAAATAAACATACAAATAATAGTTTAAAATTTTGAAACAAAATGCACTGGATGTTGTAATGCATTATTACAACATACAGAACGTCAAATGATGGTTACGGCGTGCACGTACAATGGCAATTGAGTTGTGTATAATGTGCCTAATCGAATGCCTTTTACATAAATAAATACAGTCATGCATATTTTAAAATCAATGGTTCAAATAGCGTCTGCCGAAAATAATTATTCCACTAGAAGCATGTGTACGTTTGAATGTCGAAAAAACTGTTAAGTACATCAAACGTATTTTATACTCTTTTGAGCTTATAATATTATCATTTCTGTTTAATAAAAGTTTTCTTGATTTTTTTTTTTTTTTATATATATAATGAAATTTGTGTTAATTGTGTTTTTATTTATATGTTTACAATATGAGACTTCTCAGTATGAAATAAACTCACAGATTTATCGGCCATACCACAATAGATACTTACAGGCTATGTACAGTTATCCACAAACCGATACAGTATATACTCGTAGTGTCTATAGAAATGTAATACCGGAAATCAGGAGTAATATTATTCCAAAAAAGGTAAAATATTTTTTAATTATTTCAATAGAGATTAATTGAATTTATATTGCTTAAGCCAATAAATGTTGAACCAAATCCAAGTCAACCGAATGATATTCTGTCGAAATTAAAATTTATAATGATTCTATTGAGATATAATCAAGATCATTCGACCACTGATGAATCATCAAAGAAAGTGCAGGATGATCCAAATGCTGAAACCTACAAAGGAAAGTCTACAAAAAAAACGTTGGCATCTTTTAGATCAGCGTCCGTGTAAAATATATTAAGTAAAAATTTAATTAACTAAGTGATAACAAGAATATTAGGTAATAATATTGAAATTGTTCAAAATATTCGTTATCTAACAGATTATTATAACTGTATTATATACAATTGATACATACTTGTACGATAACATGAAAAAATTAACAAAAACTGTCATAAATAACTATAATTATTAAAAATTAAATGCAATCATTACTTTGTTCTATTTACTATAGTATTCTATGTATGTATATTTTATGTAAAATAAGATGAATTACAAAAACTGTTGATTTTCCAAAATGATTGAAAAATTGGAAATGCATTTTTTATATTATATCTATAAACCAACAAACGAATAATTTCTATAACATAAAATAAAAAAAATAATTTTTTTTAGTTGATCTATGAATTTTAACTGAAATTTCAATTTTTGATTAGAAAATTACCTACTGAGCTGTGTGAATATAGTGTTTAATAATTGTTTGGTTTGAAACCCTAATCAAAACTAAACATGCGACAAATGAAGGTTTCAAAATTTCAAATATAGTAGGTTTAGTTTTAATAATATTAAAACTAAACCTATGTATTCCTTTAAATAGTTTAAATAGAAAAGTTGTCAAAAAAATAATATCCATACTCTTAATAGTTAATTGTAATTTAAGTTTTAAATATCTTCAAATAATTCCTAAAAATGATCAATTAAATATATCATTATTAACCTCCGAAATTCTTATCTGACAAATTCACATTGTTTTACCTTTTATTATAACGATGATGTGATCAATATATTGGAAATAGTTTATTAGAATAAACTATTTTATGAACAAAATAATGTATTATCTGAAAAAGTTAGTTGTAAATGAATAAATACATTGTATGTTTTCTAACCAACATCAATTTGAAGTCAAGCGTAAAGAATACAGACTTCTTTTCAATTAAGTAAAGATACCATTTATGTATCTAATACACTTCAATTACAACAAACATCGTTTTTTTGTTGAAAATGTAAAAATTTTCATCAACAATAACTATTTAGGTATATCAATAGAAACTTACTATTTTTCTAATATTAATATATATATATATATATATATTTCACAAGTATATAACAGGTTTGAACTTTATTATGATAGTTATTATGTTTAAATAAAATAAAATAAATATATATATTATATATTATTATTAAAAAATAAACGTATTTAATACATATAATGGAAACATAAATGAATTTTAAGGTATAATAATAAATTGTTAGTGTGAACTGTTATACGAGTATTGATAATTTTTTACAATAAATTAGTATCAATGACATGACAATCAAGTTTATTTACAAGAAAATAGACGCATTACTCTATGGTTTATAAAATTATGAGTCGTAATGAAAGATTAATTATATACTTAATAATATGCATTTAAGTAATATTTACTATTTAGTGCATTTAACTTGTGTCTTAACTTTAAAACCATATCGATAATAAATCGTTATGTTCATTAACTTGTTTAAAAAAAAATTTATTTGCTTTTGTAAATATTTGTTTTTACTTCAATGGTTCGTTAAATTAACAATTGTGATAACACTTAAAATCATTTGTAGATTGATCACTAATAAAAAATATCAACTACAACTAACATTTAGATGGCAAATTGTTTAATTGTTAGTAGGTACTTAGTTCTTGGATAAACAACATAAGCGATATTATGCCATCGTTATTGTTGCCTTAGGAAGTTATATATTTGTATATATATGTAAATATAATAGCACCCAGATGACAGTGTTCAATAATTTGTACCTGATGTATAAAAATTGTAAATGGGAATTAAAATTGCATTACGTTACATACATAATATATAACTAATAGTCATATAAATCGTACAACGTCGTATGCCAAGTTTCTAATCAGTGAAGTAGAACGTTGAGAATGTTTCTCGTGCATATTTATTATATTACATTATCCATCATACAGGTATAATTTAAATTTATTTAAGATAATTTACCGCAATTATAAAATAATTATAAATTAACAATTTCTTTCTTTCTGATTTAAGTATAAATTTAATAAATTTATAAAAATTAGTACATTGTTTTAAATTGAACTTACCATCAGTGAAACTATTTTTTTAGTATAAAAATAAATGTGTTTAATAACAAATACATTTTACAATATAAGTAATACAAGCAAAAGATAGGTTCTTTACGTTATAACTAATTAAAATTTAATGATTTATTTTGAATATTAACAAATCATAAGAAAAATATTGTTTAGACATCTATGTTAATAATTACTGAAATATTTATTTTTTTTTATTTTACTTTTTTTAAGTTTAATGTCAATTATCTGTAGAATATTAAATTTATTATTTATACATACTTTTCATGTTTTTATATTAATTCAATAAAAATTAGTTATTTTAAGTCTCAGGTAATATAACAAATGTAAATAAATATCAATATACCTACTGATACAAATCACAAAGACTAATTTAAAAATAATAATACTTTATAACTCTACCTCAAAGAAATTGAAACTTAATAAGTGCCTAATTTTCGGTCATTAATTATTTTTTAGATTTTTATTTATTACATTTTGATAATATTAATTTTCAAATACCATATATTATAAATAAACATATTTATTTTTATCAATTAATATTTAATAGTGAATAATTAATACATTTATGATGTATGTATTAATAGTTATAAATGCAATAAAACTATAGATTAAATTAACGTGAGAAATTATCAAAAATAATGTTTTTAACGTTTTCATTCATTTTTTAATTTTTAGATATTATATGTCACCGGAGTTTCAGTTTCATGGAACTCTCCAAGTACAATATATTCATCTATAAACAGTAAATCGGTAAACATTAATTAAATTGTATATTGTATATTTTTATAATATTCATTTGAGAGAAAATATTAGGAAAATTAAAACAATGTTGAGCTTTTCTTTCAAAAATTCTATCGATATTTAAAAATAAAATAAGTTAACCCATAATTACTAATTGAGAAATGTTTTCAGATATCTAATATTTATAAATAGCTAATTTTTAAGTTTTTGTTTTTTTTTTTTTTTAATTGATCGTAAAACTCGTATATTATTCAAATTGTATAATTAAATTAAAAAAGAAATAATTTTCTTAGTTAAAAATACATTTTTAATCGATTATAAAATACTTTTAATTAGTTTTAAATTAAATTTCTTTTACTTTTGCATATTAATTTTTTATTTCAAGGTACCAGTATACAATGGACATTCTTCAACAATACGACCTTTTAGAATATTAGAAGACACATTAAAAATTCTTAACAAAAACCAAATTGATAATTTTGATACAGAAATTTCATCTAACAAAGGTTTAGGGCTAAATACAAATAAGATTCTTGTAAGCCAAAACAGTCAACTTGAAGGTAATAACGATGACAGCGTGTCGGAATACACAATTAATTATAATCAACCCTCTAAAATAAGTGGTGGATCTTCAAAATTTTCAACGAATACTACAAATTTTAAAACTTCTGTTAAGGTTAAGGAACCTGAATTATCAAATATTTATCATGGAACAAATAAAAATAGTGAAACAAGCCGTTTAAATGGCGTTACAAAATTGTATGAATCCAATAGTGCAGAAAGAGGTTTTAAATTGGGACAGTTAGGCATATTAAGTAGGTCAATAGGTGAAAATAATAAAAACATATCAGTTAAAGAAGAAAAAGAAAAAGGAGAAGTAGAATTTAGTGAATCGGTTGGATCTATAAGGGCTGATAGAAAAAATGATAGAACAATAGATAGGTTAGGTAATAAAGAAGGGGGAAATAAAAGTTTTAATGAATCAAAAAGATTAATAAGATTTGATAGGAAATATAACGGCAGAGCAGGTAAATCTAGTGGAGAAGAAGAAGAAGGAGGTATAAGGTTAAGTGGACCAAATGGATCTATAAGATTTGATAGACAAGATAAAGAAGGAGCAGGTGGATTTAGTGGAGAAGAAAAAGGTAGTAGAAGGTTAAGTAGCTCAATTGGATCTATAAAATTTGGTAGACAAAATGAAAAAGGAGTAGGTAAATCTAGTGTAGAAGAAAAAGAAAGTATAACGTTAAGTGGACCAAATGAATCTATAAGATTTGGTAGAAGACAAGATAAAGAAGGAGTAGGTGAATCTGGTGGAAAAAAACAAAGAGGTATAAGGTTTAGTGGATCAAAAGATTCAATAATATTTGATAATAGATCAGATGAAGCAGGTGGAACTGGTGGAGAAGAAGAAGATAGTGGAAAGTTTAGTGGCTCAATTGAATTTATAAAATTTGGTAGAC